GAACTCAAATGAGGTGCAAACTTGACGTTCTGTAGATTCTATGAAAATTTTTGCTGAAGATATCTTTAATGTAGGAATAACATGCAATCTGTATGTATGTTTATGAATATGCAAGAAAAGACAAAGAAATTGATTAATTATCTCAATATAAAATACATAATAAACATAATAAAACAAATAGAATACAACAACAACATGATTCTAAGTTTCAGATTAACTATGAAGGGTAAAGAAACATGACTCTACTTATAGGTTAGGCTTATAAGGTTAACTATATAAAGCTTGGGTTCATTTTAAAAGGTTTTCAAATTGTTTCTTATATTATTGTCTTTCACAGACTAATAAGGTACCCCAATCCTTGTCCATTATAGGCTACAACCAGAAAATATTCAATTTAAGTAGGAGTATTTTGCTAGATCATACTAAAATATGAAATCTTACGATGGCGTAAGTACTTTACTCTCTCTTAAGAGATAGAATTCGAGTGTAAAGTCCATGTTATGCTCATACAAATGAATGACAGGTATATAAAAATGAATAAGTAAATAAAGAAATAAAATACAAGCAAGAAAAAAATTCTTGAATTTATTAAGTTAGGCTTGGATAACTAGAAATAATGTACTGGCTTGACTCACTATTTTTTCAGTGGAGTTGCCATACTGTCATAAACTATAAATTCGTAGATCTATCGCTAGACATCTATTAAATGAGTTGCCACAAGTTTTTTTTTTAAGGTGCGATTGGCCACGTGACAAAATCTATTCTATTTAAAAATGAGTCCCAAGATTGATTTAAGTATCTTTAAATAGTAAATTTTGATCTATAAAATCATATTTAAGATTCAGGAGTACAATTATATGTGAGAAAGGTTATAGCACCCTTACTTGTACCATTTAAAGGATAATACTAGTTTGATTTCAAATTATCCAAACCTTAAAATATTTTTATAATTTTATCAAATCATTTAGTTATTAGAAACTAATCCTAAATCTACTCTAATAGTTTGATAGCAATTTAAGATAATTTTTTCACCTTAAAAATATTTACAGAGACTAGTGTCCTACTCTAAAAAAGATTTATCGTAGTGTTCATTAATATATTTTTATTCAAGAAAATAATTAGTAAAATCTTTCAATAATTTGGTAAGATTTATTTTAATGCATATATCTCAATAGTTTGATAAAATTTTCTTATAAATTTATTTTTAGAAAATAAATTAAATCTTCTAATAGTTTTGTAAGAATTAATTTAATATGCAAATTCTCCAATAGTTTGATAAGATAAAAATAAAATATTTTATTAGCAATAATTTTTTACAAAAATTTATTTATGAGATTCTCCAATAATTTGATAGAATTCATTAAAAAAATTTAAATTCATGAAAAATTCTCCAATAGTTTGATAGGATTCATAAATTTATTTTGGAAACATTTTTTTTGTTATTATTTTTTTATAAAAATAAATAGGTAAAATAAATTTTGTAAAGGTATAATAATAATAATAATAATAATAATAATAATAGATTGTTCAACTTAAAATAAGATCTAAAAATAAATAAAAACGATAACAAAAAATAAAATAAAATAAAGAAAACCTTCGAAACGGGTCAGACCTAGAAGCAGGTCATGTGTAGATCTCCATAAGTCATGCGGATCAACCCTTTATGCAAAACAACATCGTTTTCTGTGAGTATAAAAGCCCATTTTCCAAGCTTTCCTTCAATCTGCCTTAGACCTTCTCTCTCTCTCCAGCTCTTTTCTCTTTCATTTCTCTCTAAAATTCCCATATTCAATTGCTAGGAATTGGATCTAATCGTTGGTTTTTGGAAAGCTTATCGGAATTTAATTGAAAACTTTAAGTTTGACTGAAAACTTTAATCGAAAAATTCAAATATTCTTCTCAAACCTAATTTTTTAGTTTTTTTAGAAAAGTAAAAACAAACTTTTTTAAATAAAACCAATAATCAAATCATTGTGAAACGCAATACCGAAAACAATTTTCACACAAACAAAAACTCAAAACTGTAAAAATCTATCAATAAAAAAAAACCTTCAACACACCAAAACCCTTGTTTTCTCTCTTATGTGATTTAGGGTGTCCTTTATAAGCTTTTTTCATCAAAAATTTAGGGCCTTAACTGAATAAATGGAATCTACCATATTCAATTAAGGTTTTATTAATTAAAAAAAAATCAATCCTATCAGATTTAATTCTATTTGCCACATGATTTGATCCAGTGCTTTGATTTAAATCAACATATAATTTTATTTTCAGTTTTCAGCTTCTTATGGGATTGACCAAAAAACTTGATTTCATTTTTTTCTTTTCTTTTTTTTAAGTTTTTATAAAACAGACAAAATAGACAAATAAAAATAAAATAAATAAATAAAAATAATTACTGGGCCATGGCTCACGTTAGAGTAACCTGAACAAAATAAAATCCTTAGTTGGGCTCAAAATCTAAATTGCCCATTAAAATAGGTTTACTCGAAACTCAAAACACTCAATAAACGTTTCAAAAGCCCGATGATCCTAACAATAAAAAATTTCGCATAATCCAAACAAAAAAAAGGTGCTTACAAAGAGAGTGTGTACTGTAAATCCGACTATCTCGGATGGTAGCTGGCATGGTCGTTACTCGTTAGGCCAGTGTAAAAAGAGCAGCATGGGTATTGTATTTGGCGTTGAGTTATTGAATGAAAACATAACTTTATTTCTCTCCAAGTTCTATTATTCTTCCTTATCCTGAGCACTTTCTTTACCTCAGCTTCAGTTGTTTGATTAGACGTCTCCAAGCCATCGCCTTTTTTCAAATAAAAAAGGTCTGATCTTTTCAATCCTCTCTCTCTGTCCGGTGGGTGATGGGTGTGTTTGGTTACGCAGAAAATGAAGGAAAAAAGAAAGTTCAAAGAGAAAAAATCTGGGGAGCACGGTGAATCGTGAAATCACTATCACTTGTGGAAAACTGAAAAGCTTCATGCTTTGTCTTCCTTTTTTGTTTGGTTTGATGCACTGCGTGCCTTAAGCTGTAGGTAACACCAGGAGAAGATCTATGCGAATTGCCAAATTTGCCCATTTTATTTTTATTTTTTCTGCTTTTAACCTTTTTAATTATATCTGTCAAGTCAAACTCGATAAAAAAACTTAATTTTTTATAAAAACTAAATTTTAAATTTTAAAAATAAAAATAGAGATAAGTATGAATAATTAAATTATAATTACATAATAATAACAACGTATCATTCACATATATAACATTTATGTATCTCAAATTTTCATTGATTCTTTCTTTATCATGTTATTAATTAATACTAATTGCATTACGTTATGAAGTAGATTAATATTTGAAAGTCGAATAATCCACAGAATAAAAGTTATTTGAATGGATTTGCTTTTGAAATTATTTGATTATATTTTTTTATTCAAGTAAACCATTTGATATTTTACAATAATATTAATGATTATACAGGATATTATATCAAAATTAATCTTAAGCAAAGTTTGATATACTAATTGTCCTAAAAAAAAAAACCACCAGTCCATGTCAAAACCCAAATTCCGAATTTAATGTTCAAAAGCAAATGTGAATGTCCACAAGGCAAAGGTAGCTTAAGCCGAGAAAATGAGAACATTTGGTTTGAGAAAGCATGAAAGGGTGCATGACCATGGTCCTTGCTGATTTTAATTTGGTATACAAAAATAATTCGATGGGTCAGATGTGACAATATAATCTTTGATGTTTTGCTTAACCCAAATTGTACTTCCTAATAAAACATTATAAATCCAACCTAAATATTAAAAAAAAAGAAAAAAAAAAAAAAAGAGAAGTTTGATTCTCCATCCCGTTCGGTTTGTAGTACATAATTGGTTGAGAAGTTTGGATCCGGAAAAGAGTCAAACCCTGTCCTTAGTAGGGAAGGAATCAGGAAGTATGTACGTTTTGGATCTTCTTTCTGCTGCCGCTGCAACTGGCTATAAATTTTGTTCACAAACTACAGCTGGAATTTCGAACGATGTCCTTTAAATGGGTTGGGCTTGGACCACTCTTCACTGCCCACTTCTAAACACTTGAAAAAGTAATAATAATAATAATAATAATGACTCGACAAAAGAAAATATTCAAAAGAAAAGATAAAATACTAATGACTGATAAAAGAAAGAACAAGTGCATTGCACCCCCACCACATGAAAACATTTTTGCTCAAATACATATATATTTTTGGGTCGTATTTGTTCTTTTTTAAAGTTCAGGAAACAACCACATCCTCCACTTGCAAAATGCATGTCTCTCCCACTTCTTTCATATTCTTCTTCTTTTTTTTTTTTTTCTATCTTCTTGAATTTCCCCTTGTCAGTCTCTTGGTGTTTTTGAGCATTTTTTATGACCAAAAGTTTGAGCTGATAACATTTCAGATCAATAGAATCGAATTTGATTATTCAATTAATAGATAATATTATAAACTTTAAAAATTGAATTCAAATAAAAAAATTTAAATTAAATCAAATCAATCCAAATAAAATGGATTTTTTATTTTCTACATCTTTTTTCTCATTCTTTAAAAAAAAAAAAATTGAGTTCAAAAACAAAAAGGAAAAATCGTGTACGGAAGATAAAAATTCAGCATATATTAGTATACTTTCCCATTCTCTGCCACAGAAATTGCCTGTTTCCCATTGGAAAAATGTAGTAATTCTTCTGACCTTTCATTGTTCTTTCATTTTTCTTAAATTAAAATTTCTTCACATCTTTTGACATTGGAAGACAAGGAATTCCATTACCTTCACCCCAAAGGTAAGCCAGTTTCTTGCACATAAACCAAAAATTTGTATGGTAGTTTGGTTATTCATCCCATCCACATACCTAATTTTGTTTTATTAGTTCTTTGTTAAGTCCATATATTCACTTTCCTTCAACAAGATCTAAAGTTGAAATTAGCATTTTCAAAGTCAGTATGTGACAATGGAGCCTTCAAAATTATGCTGTTCCCAAACCCACATTGTAAGGAAAAAAATTTAAAAAAAAAAACTAAATGGAAATACCGGATATTGAATTTTAATTTACCGAAATTAAGGTCAATATTGCTCTATAGTACAAAAAGGAAAAGTTTTAGGGATTAAAATGAAAAGAAAAAAAGCCCCCCTAATTTTTTTTTTTCGATTTACCCCTCTACACAATCAAGGGGAAAGTAAGACTATGCCGCGTTTCGACGACCGTAGTGGAATTTTTTTTTTTTACCCTTCCAATTTCCACAAAAAACTGGCGTCGTTTTTCCATTTCCACTATTTCATTTTCTATGGCCTTAAAACTGATAAATTACTATAGGCCGTTAACATCGCCGTTACCGTTTTTAACTTTCGGCGTTGACGTCATCGTTTCCATCAACAGCTCCGTTCCCGTCGCCACCATCACCCTCTTCATCGAGCCACCGCTCTACTGGCGCGCACTCGGCTTTGTGGCGCAGCTTCCAATCGAGTGCCTGGCAAGCGCGTGAGCAGTAATTCACAGCCCCACAAACCGAACACCTGCGAAACTCGTGCTTTCTTGTCTCCGGCCTTCCACAACCAACGTGCGAGCATAGCCTCAAACCCGGTCCGGGCATCCCACCCCGAGCGTCGAACCACTCCGCTAAGAACCTGCTAGCCGGATGCGCCTCCGGCGCTGGCACATTGCATCCAAAATCACTCAGCAACGGGCATCCCGGTACGGTCGGATGACGTTGGTTAGGATGCGGGATCGGGTGTGGGCTCCAAGTAAGCCAAGAGCGCGTAGATATGTTAGAAGCAGCTGGTGATGATAAAACCACCGCTAGCTCTCGGGCGTTGGCTTGGACGAGAAACCGACGTCCCTCGGCGATGTTTTGCCGCACGCCGTAGCCGTCCTGGAGGCAGTGACCAAGCTCACGCAGGGCGTCGATGTGGCCAAGGAAAGCAGCCCGAGCGCACAAAGCCACACCTGCTCTGAGGTCCTTATCGTTTTTAGAGCCGCCGCTTCCGTTGAACTGAATCACAGCTAAAGAGTAAAGCGCCGGCGCGTGGGAGCTAATCGCCGCCTTAGCCATAAGAGAGGCTCCACTCCCTCGATTTTGTAAACAGTAGAAACGAATCTGTGGCAAATCACAAAGCAGTTAACTCGTTAGAGAATATTTATATTCTTGACTTAAACTTGATAAGCAGCAGAAACAAAATTGGAATTGCCAACAAATAATTATATCAGTTAATCAAATAAAATATTTCTGAGTTAACTCACCATGCCTAGAGTGTAACAAGCTTCAACATTTCCGGCATCAGCGCTGGTCTTCAAGAACCTATGAGCTGACTCTGACCAGTTTTTGGCTTTAATGGCAAACATTTTTGGAGATGCTTTGGATAATACCAGAGAATTGAGTGCTAAACGATTTAATCTCTTGCATCTGTTTTCACAAAATAAAAAATCGTAAGAAACCAAAAAAATCCAAACTTTCCCCTCAAAAACAAACAAAGAACCGAAAAGTCCAGTGAACGTCGACGTACGTAATCAGAACGTTGATGAAATCGGAAGGGCAACTGGCGGTAGAGCTCAGTTTGGAGAGTATAGAAATGACAAGATCATCGGGTAAAGCATCGAACAAATGACTTTTTACTGCAATCTCCGGCGAGAATCTTTGCCGTTTTCGGCAAGTCAAATTATCTCCGGCCAAATCTCTCCTTTTAACAACTATTTTCTCTACACAAACGTCAGCCCTAGGGTAACAAACCCCTCCCCTTGTTCTCATTTCTCTTTCTTTCTCTATCCCTATATCTCAACTTATCTCAAATTGTGTGTTCTCTTTCTCTTTGCTTTCCCTTATCTTTTTTTCCCCCTTAGCTGCTCGAGAGAGGAAATAGATAAGCAAAATAAGACCTTATATATAAGAAGGGAAAAGCACAAGCCATGGCCTTAAAAGGACGATCAGAGCAAAAACAATGACAACGACCGAACCGAATGAAATAATATTTAATAATAATTAACTCTTAATTACATTTTTAACCCTATTTAGTAATCGTTTCTACGGTCAAATACCGTTGACCCAGATCTTCTCGTCATCGGTTTTAGGTTTTCACACTGAGAAAAATAAGGAAAAAAAAATGAAAAACTCTGAGCACTCTTTTATCCTTTATTTTTAATCTGTTTGTTTTACATGAACTTGAAGACAGAAGAGAGAGCGGTTGAGAGAAAGGTTAAAAAAAAAAGGTTTTTACCATCTCATCTGTTTTTTACGATTTGTTTGGTGCAGGTAAAAAATGCTTGTGGGTTTGTTTTAAAAGCGGTTAAATTTGTTGAAAGTAAAACAACTAACTTCGGTTATTTTCTGTAATTCAGTTTTGCTTTAGGTTATAAAAAATCAACGTAATTCCGGCGCGTGCACAACGCCGACTGTTTTGGGCTCCCGTTTCGGGAGTGAGCACCATGCTCTTGGTTTGCGGGTGTGGAAATTCTCGTTAACAAACTCAGGTTAGCGAATTCTGGGCACTCGCCCGACGACTATACAGAGGTCAAACGTATAAATTCAGTTGCTCTTCCATGTTTTACATGACAATTTATTTACTGATTTTCCGTTTTACCCTTTTAATTAGCTAAAAGAAATTAAAATCTAGTCCAACTTATTTTGGGGTTTAAATTTCTTCACTTAAATTGTTGATAAATTACTAGTTTTTTTTATTGGATAAATTTTGTTTGAAGTCCCAAATTTTTTATTTTTAAATTGTTTAATAATAATCTCACAGTGATAAGTAAGAGAATTACAATTTAAGATAATAAATAACAATTATTACTTTTTATTATCATATTAAAATATATTTTTAAAAGATAAATAAATTTTTAAAACCGAAATAGAGCTATAATTATGAGCAAAAATAGTAATTTATTTTTCTTCATAATAATTATAAAAATTTTATTTTCTTTCTACTAAATACATTTTTAATCATATTAAATAATAATAATTTTGGATCAATTATGCTAATTTGTTTTATTTCTTTATTTTATTTTATTAAATTTTGTTTCGTTACTATTTACAAAGTTTAAAAATAAAATATAAAACTAAATCCTATTAAAAGTAATGTTACAATTTTTTTTTTTTTAATGAAACATACTCAAATAATTTTGACTTTCGAAATGTTGACATTATTAATTTTTCAAAAAAAATAAAATACTTATATATACTAAAATACTTAATTAATAAGTTTATACTCTAACTAAAAACTTGAACAATTGTGAAACTATACTTATTTGTTAAGTGATATTAAATGAATTACTTCTAATAAAATATTTCCTTAAGATATTATAGTAGTAAATAAGTTTTTTGTATTAGGTTAGCATAATTTTAGAGAGTTTTTAAATTATATTAATTATACTAGTAATAATTTACAAAAAAGTATTTTATGAGATTTTTTTTTTGAAATTGCACTTATAATCAAATATTACGTCGATATAATCAATTGAATAACAAATTATTACATTAACAAAAAATTAATTGACAAATTATAACTTAATTAAATAATTAAATTCATATATAGTGAAACTTGAATTCATGATCTTCTACTTGCCATTAGACCAATGCCTCGTTGACAATATTACAATTATTATTCTTTATTTATGTTTAGTAAGTGTAAACATCATTTGAACACGTTTCATTTCGTTTTTTTTTTTTTTTTACTCTAGCTTTATTTTTAATAAAATTTAAATTTATATTCGTTGATCAAATTTTATAAATATAAAAAATAAAATTGGATAAAATAAAAATAAAGAAAGAAAATAAAATCATAATGGACCTAGAATTTTACTCTTTGTTATCGTTCCAAAATGTATCTATTAGAAAGTAAATAAAATTTTTATAATTATTATGAAAGAAAATAAATTATCATGTATGTTTTTTATTTTAAGTTAAATTTTCTAAAATCAAGGATAAAAATAATAATTATCTTTCATTCTTATAAATTCTAAAAATTTTATTTATTTTCAATAAATATATTTTAGTATTATAACAAAAAATAATAATTATGAATTTATCACCTCTATATATAATTCTCCAACAAAATTTGATTAGAGCACTATATTAATGTCATTTGAAAAGGTTTGAGACTATTTAAACTAGAATCCGAATGAAAGGTTTTGGGCACCACAAATGCACATTACCTTTTATTTATTACTAATTTTTTAAATAAAGTTTTAATTAAAAATAAAATTAATCATATATAAAAAATTAATAAATTAAATCAAACATAAATTAATTGTAGAATCAATGTATAACTAAATAATTTAATATAAGATTTGATTAAATTCACTTATTTTGAAATTTAAATTTGAAGTCTCAAAATTCTAATATCTAATGGGTCCCACCAAGACACAAAATCTTGTTATCTTTATTTATTTATTTATTAATAAAACCTTACGGCGGGAATAAATTCAAATATGACGCAATATATAACTGTAATTATCTAGTAATAATATTCTTCAACATAATTTTGTGCCCTGGAATTATTGAATATAAATAAAAAGTGTAATAAATTCAATGATAAGATTAAATTAAATTTTTTGTATTTATTTATTTATTTATTAAAATTAATGATTAAAAGTATATAATTTTTTTAACTTGATTCTTTTCATTAATAAAAAGTTTTACTAATTTATATTATTAATAAAGTGATTAAATAATTATACTGTCATTAAATTAAGTTACACAAAATATGGAACTTTTAGAAAACAATAAATTTGTTATAAGAAAATGTAAGATTAGAAATGTATATGTTTTTCTACAATTTTTTAAAATAAGAATTAGATAAACAAAAATTACTCATCACACCTTTTTTATAAAATATTTTTCGTTTTCACCCGTGTAAAAGGTGTCCAATTGTAATTATTACTAATATGCTAGTAAAATACGGAAGGCTATTTAAAATTTTAAAAAATATCACGCCAAACCTATAAAGTAGATCTCATCTTTTCCATTATGATTAAAAGTCAAGTTTTTCTCTTGGATTTGCAAGTATTATCAAAAGAAACAAAAATTCGCATATCAATTATCTCCAAGTACAACAGAGGTTGGAGTTGGACATTTTTTTTTTTTTGCCAATTGAATTGGACATTTCAAACAGTGTACAAGTGTTACTGATTTAATTTTTTATAAAAAATGTAATTTAATGATAGCAAAGAGTTTATAAATATTAAAATTTAAAATTTTAATTTGTTAAATATAATTTTTTATAAATGATTACAAAATTAATTAAACAAAATTTTAAGTTTTATGGTGTTAATTTTGTTGTACTAAAAAATTATAAAAAATAGTTTGAAAGATTAATCAAGTAGGTAAAAGATTAAAAAAATTTCAAATAAAAATTTAATAATGATTTAATTATTTATATTTTATTATAATCAATTAAATTTAAAATTTATATTTCAAATCAATTAAATTTTTAAACATATATTTTTATTCAATTAAAATCTTAAATATCTATTTCAATATTAATTGAGCTATTGAATACATGAAAATTGATCCTGAAGGTTAAGCAATTTGTATTTAATAAAAAATTTAATAGATAAAAGTAAATATTTAAAAATTTAATTAATTATAATAAAATAATAAAAACACTTGATCAATTATTAAAATTTTGTTAAAAAATTATTTTTATCCTCGAGCCAATCAAGTAAATCAACCACATTTATCGCCGAGGGGGTCCACTGAAACATCATTTTACCGAGTTCCAGTCAACTGTGGATCTTGGTGGCCCCAGAGGCCAGAGCATATCTTCTTTTTACAGACTGCTAGTAGGCTGGGTTTGGTAAAAAAATATAAAAAGTTTGGTTTTTCATTTTTTTTTCCATCTATATATACGTAATACAATGTTTGTTGTTCGATGACAGGACTATTTTCATTTTAGGACCAAACTACTCAATAAATTATTGCCGTACTCTGTGTCGATCAAATTCCAAGCATATTATATCTTCAACTTCAAGAAACTTCAAGGTGTTTTGTGGCTTTTGATTATTAATTTCCTATATTTTAATTCAGATTTAATTCTTGACTCAACATTAAGAATCATAATTAAAAAAAAATAGCAATCAAGTGGAGCAATTTTTTTTTTTGGCATAGGGATCGCAGGTTGGAAATTGTTACAATTAAAAAAAATAAAAAATCCATAGATTAAAAATATATATTACTAGCAATTTCATTAAAAGTCGTAACAAGGGATCATAGGTTCGGTCCCCAAATTTTATTACGTGAAAATAACTGAAACCGAACACTAAAACCTAACCTAAAGCATAGGATCCCACTCCAATTTTACTTTATGAGGAGCTGCTGATAAGCATTCCCCCAGAGAGAAGGAAACCGTGTAGTAGGGTTTACAAATGAATTGTTAATTAATTGATATCGAAGTCGATTTCGAAAAGAAAAGTTTATGATATTAAAATTAATTTTAAAATTAAAAATTTTGAGTTTAAATATGATAATAACTTAAAAACATAAAAATAACTTTTGGACAGGTTAATTTTATTTTAATTAATTGCTGGGGGAAATTTTGAAACTTATCTGATAGCGTGAGGCAGTAATAATAAGTCAAAGATTTCGCGCCCTTTTGAATTAATTACCGGGAGCTTCTATTTATACCACAAAATATTTTATATACATCTTATAAATTTTTTTTAAAAATATTTATATATCAAATATAAAAGTTAATCTTTAATAAATTATAAAAACATCTTCAAACTGTCATACATCCCGTAAATCATCTTTTTCTTTTTTCCCTCTTCTTCCTTTTTATTTTTCCTCTTTCATTCTTCTTTCTCACATACTAAACCCTAATTTTTTTAAAATTAGAATCAAAATTTTAAAATTTTTGTTAAATTTTACAAACTGTTTAAGAATGAATTTAAAAATAAAAAACAACAATAGGAGAAAAGAGCTCGACAAAGTAATAAAATCCCGTCTAATTAACTCTAAATTTTTTTTATGTTTTCTAAAATCCATTTTCGAGATTACAAAAAATTTTCGAATAATATTCTAAACTTTTGAAA